TTATAATACATACAGACATATATATATATATATATATATATATATATACGTATAGGTTAGAAAATCAGAATATTATGTAAAGTAAATCGGCATATACTTGCTGGTAGCCAATACGAGACAGTCGCAATACACCAACAAACCACCAGTGATATCGTCGCCCAGGCTTGCATACACCAACCTACATCAAGTGCAATATATTTCACCCAAGATTGCAACACAATACCTGACGTGTGTGCAGGCACGCTGACCGGCGAGTGTGAAGTAGTTGCGGCTAGTCTCGGGATAGCCAGCACCCATAGGTGTGCGTTCAATCAAGTGTTCCCAAGTATCGCTATTATAAGCTTCTGCTTTCGCATAGGCGTCCTTGTTGGCAATTGTCCCTATTTCGTTGTTGAAATCGCTGGGCTGAGGGAGGGAGGTGTCGTCCTCGATCCACGCGCCCTGCGAATACGCAAAGAAGACCTCAGAGTTAGAAAAGCACACACTTGCATATGGCTAGGTTTAGTATGTACAAGAAAGTAGGTCGTATACAGCCCGCATCGTATGCTTAGAACACTCACAGTTTATCATGGGCAAGTACGTGTCACAGCATGGACACGAGTTGATGTATAAGAAAAGGGTAACAAAAACTGGTTAAGTATCTTACCTGGAGAGAAGCCCTGGGGGCATAGTTGCCAGAGAAGAAAGCTGTATCGATCTCGACGTGAGAGATGTCTGCCCCCCCTCCCAGCTTAATAATACACCAGTCATGCCCAGGGGTTCGCTTCCTGCGCGTTTCCCATCCGTCCATCCACTTTCCGAACTCCGTGAACTCAGTGGCAATAAAAATAGGAGTCTCAACCTGTCAAGATGTTAGGAAAGGTCCAGGGTGAAAAACAAGTGCACACAACCTTATCAATTAAAATGATACGCTTAAACAGAATGTCGTCGACGCAATATAGAGTATCAGCCTAGTTCAGGATATGCAAACTATACTATATTAGATAAGCGAACGTATGTTTTTGGTCCCAATTCTTACATGTGCGAGTAAGCACAGCTAAGACTGTGTGAATATATGAGTGTTTTCTCCTGGATAGACACTAACGACTTGAGAAGTAATAGGTTATCGAGTAATAATCTCGCGCCAGGGCAAATACTGAGTCCACATCAAGGGTTTCATAACATTTTATCAATGTGCACAGGGCGTATGCTATTTACGAAACTCTGTATGTGCCAAATAACTCGTACACAAAATCTATGCGTTTGTACAAATGCATACATACGACCGTATTGTATATACATATGTGTGTGAAAAGATAAAAATCAAATACTCACAGAACAGTCGAGTCTTCTAAATCCTCATACGTAAAA